TATGTAATATATTTAATATTTATTTTAATTAATATTTTATATATTTTTAAGATTAAAAAGAAACACACAAGCATTACTTTACGGTGGGCATTATTCTCAAGGTGAGTGCATGTATATAATTCATAAAACAGGCTATAGTCTTTGTGAACACGCCTGGAAAGAATGTATATATATATATATATATATATATTTATTGAAAATAACAACTATATTAATAATATTAGTATTTGTTCTTAGAAGACGAGAAAATGTCGAATTTGAGACTCTAATTTTACGCCCTAGAGATACCATCATTTTAATTTTCCAAAGAGAAGTATGGCCACTAAACCACATGGGTGATTGAAGAAAGTATATATTATTAGATCATGTAAAAAAAGGCTACCTAAATCAAAGAGGCTCCTGATCAATGCTCCTACTTCTCTAGATTTTCGATCCACTCCTTTAAATTGCTAAGAAGCATCCCCCGCATTAATACCGTCCCTTGAAAACCCAGATCAAAGGGTTTTCGAAGGAGAAGGTGAGTGATGGAGCAAGTGGACACTGGGCAGGAAAGCTGAATTAAAAGAAACAGGACAATGCTGGACACAAAGCACTAAGGCTCACTGTTTTCTAGAAGCTTTCATAAAGCTGCAGTGATGGAGAGAACCCCATGTAATTCCCTTCATACCATTTTGGTACTCGAAGAGTTTTTAGAAAATAATAAGAGATACTATAATGAGGAAAGGGATGGAGCAGTAACCAAGCACTGAAGGCCTCTACTTCCTCATAACAACTAAAAAATAAAAAGAAAAAGGAAAATTTACATTTGGGGTCCAAGAGGCATCCTACTCATCATTTGCTGATACACTGCTGAACTATTGGACAGATTTAGACCAGGTTCTGAGATTGGCTCCACCTTGGGTTCTCCTTTTGGCAACATGAAACCCATCTCGTTCATCTGCCTCTGCTGTGCCAAGAATGGATGAACCGGCAGGCCTGGCAACTTAGCTTGCACAAGACCCAAACCAGCCATTGCTAGATTGGCCAGTCCAGGTTGGTTCATTCCAAAGGAGAATGGTGGGGAAGGCCCCTGCTGATGCCTCCCAGGTAAGGCGAATGGACCAAAAGAAGCTGGTCTAACCATGCCACCGTGAACTTTTGAGGACTCTGGCTGATGTGCATGGGTTTGGACAACAGAAGCAGTTTGGGCGGTTACAGCACTAGGGCTACCAGAATTCACATGATTACTGCCACTGCTGCGAGCTGCAGGAACATCATGGTTGTGCTTTCCCTCATATGTGGTGATCACCGACTTAAGGTCATGTGATGCCCTCTCTACATGCTTCCTTACTGTGCAGCCTGCACTAGTGCACTTGTAATAACTCCTGCAGTAAAACAACAGCAAGTTGGATTCAATTTCAATATTGGCAACTCATATTAATTAATAATTGTTATATTTTGCAAAGGTACCACTGATAGAGAGAAGGAAGATAGCATGTATCTGATTATACTAAAAACCTTGGGTTTGGATTTCCTTTCACAACTTTCTGACCATACTTGCGCCATCGATATCCATCATCCAGGATATCCACCTCACTGGTTGTCTGAACAACAACTCTAGGTTCACGAATTGCTCTGGTGGCTCCACTTATTTCCGCTGCATAAGCTTCGATTTTTCTGGGATATCAAAAATACATGAGAACATTCACACATTATGGTCTTCATAACAGAGCTATATACTTAAATCAATTTGTCAGATAAAAACCTTCTCTTTGACTCTGATTCATCTCCCTCACCATCATAACCTAGTGACACACTACCATGTGTCCCCTGATCATCTTCATCTTCATCATTAGAGAAGGTAGAGGAGACATCCACGGCATCTCCAGGTTCATAGTGTGTGCCGTTTGGAGCTTGCAGAAATATAGATTCATTGCTGTACTCAGGGGCTAAAGTTGTAGACGATGTCACCTCAATGCTATCATGCCTCCAGTCTGAGTTTCCTACAGTGGCTCCCCTCTGTGCACTTGTCCAAACAGGGTAACCATCGGTACAATTTTGTGGGCCTGCTTGTCCAGTGCCATCTAAGTGAATGTCAGTGAACAGGTTAGATGATCCAATGGCTGCTCGGCGATTGGGTGGAGGCTTGGGATGATTGTGGGCACCTTTGTATATGATCTCTGTTATGTGCCCTTCATGAGATCGTTCCACTTTCTTCTTTACCTGACAATTTGCATGTGTGCACTTGTAATAACTGCGAGGATATTCACTTCCTTTTACTTGTTTCTGTCCATATTTTCTCCAATTATATCCATCCTCAGATGGTGCACCACCAGCACCAGCCATGGAATCTCCACTGCCTCTTTGATCTCCTTCTTCATCTGGTAGCTCATCAAGAGGTGGTGAATGTGCAGCATTACCATCAACAGTATCAAAAATCCTTTGGTCTGCAGAGATATTATCATTACTCCCATTATCTTTTTCAGTTGATAACCTGGAGAAGTCTGCCTGAAGGTTGAGGCTGTTTCTGTTCTGAGAATGGACTTCAACATTGGGAAAGGATTGCTGAGGAATAGTGGCAGGTGTTATCTGTATTTGGAATCAGAAGGCAAATCAATAGTCAGGAAACAAAATTTTCAAGTACCAAGAAAACAAAGTAACAAAAATAGTTCAATACGCCCAAAAACAAATTTATCCCCACAGCATACTCACTTTGCTTGTCACACCAAGGAAAAAAGAACTTAATTCTGTCACAGGTTTGAATGCAAATGATGATGTATTAATGTCTTCAAACAAATTATCTTTATGTTTTTCAGCAGCCTCTGAGAGTGAGCTCCTGTTATTACCATTTGGTGGAAAAGGAAATTTTCCAGTTGTTGGGGATGGCTGTGCCTGCAGAGTGATACAGGTTGAACCATTCAGGATCTTGTATGAAACAGAAAAACTTCAAAATATAAAATAAAATAAAATTTTAGCACAGAAAATGCAATTACCAAAAAAAGAAAGAAAGCATATCTTGGCATAAGAAGAAACATTAATGGGACATTCTAGATAGCTACACTTTGGGATCTAAGTTGCACTTAAAACAGCAAAAACCAATCTTGTGATTACTGCAAAGCATTTTTTGTGATGTAAAACAGCATAAACAATCTTGTGATGTAAAGAAGGTAAAAAGAAATTTTTAAAAATGCAATTTTTATTCCATTTTTTGTGTAGCTGCACCTTATGATGATTAGCTGCCTATATTTAGTTCAAAACCCATCAACCTACATGTTTAATATTGACATAAAAACAGAAAATAGTCGCTACCAAGAAACTAAAATTTGGAAGTAAAAGTTGCTATTCACTCCAACCACGAGCAGTTAAACCCACAATATTGCTTTTATATTAAGTCTTTGACTTTGACTACACCCACATAAAGAATAGAGCCAATACCATCCCACCATGGACCACATATCGTTGTTAAGACATCATAAAATGGCAAGCAAAAACAGTAATGATAGCCAAAAGGTATCCATAATTTTCAAGATGGAAAGTTACCAGGGAATTTGAAAGAAAAACGGGAGAGTCTAGTAGTGTTGTTGGACTGAGACCAGGTGGTATTGTCAAGTAAGGAGAACGAATATCATTGTTGATTGAAAGATCAGCAGACCTGATGCTTTGTGTGTTCAACCTTGGAGCACTAAATCCAGCTCTGGCTGCAACTCTTTCTGCAAGACATCCCCTTGGACCTGATTTCTGCTCAGTCAAATGATCACAAACAGTATGTGCAACATCCTTTTTATCAGTGTTTGATGTTCCCAGAAAGAGCTCCTCATTATTTCTACTCTCCTCTTGAGTTTGGGAGCTTGATTTTGAGGTGATATCATCACCTAAAGGTGCCGTGAAAAAACTAGGGCTAGAAGGAGGAGGCACCCAATCTTCAATTATACTAACATTATCATCAATGCCAGCCATGACAAATTCTCAAAATCAGGTAAATTTAAAATGAAGGTGGGTTGAAAACCTGATAGGTGAACAAAACAAAGACGGAAGGAAAGAAATACAAGGTCAATAAATGGTGGTAAAAACAAGAAGTAGGAATGCATCATCAGAAATTGAGAATCTTCAAATGCAGAATTCCAAAGTGAAGAGTTAAAAAGAAATGAAAATTTCTGTTCAACAGAGAGCAAACAGCAATGACATGAGATTTTCTTGGGACTAAAAACTTGAAAATGGAAAAAAGTTAGGGTTTTGCAATGAATTCTAAGCTAAGTGATTCCACAGATGCAAATTATCTATGCAGTGAATTAAAATCTTGAGAAGCAAGAGGTATGAATGTAAGGCAATTGAATAAAGAAATTATGAAAAAAGAAGAAAAAAAAAACATTTTTATGTATTTTATTGTGAAATCAAACAATAAGAAGACATAATCATAGGTAATGTGAGGAGAAACCAAAATTTGGTTGGGGTGGGGTGGGGTGGGGCGGGCATCAAGATCTAAATCTAATCTAATCTAATCCAATTTAATTTGAGGTAATGAAACCAAAAACAAGTTGGAAAATTTGCAATGATTTGATGAAGCTATGCCATGACATTTATCCACAAAAGAAAAAAGGAAACAAAAAAAATTCCTCAACGTCAAATTGAGAAACACAAACCACAAAAACTGATTTGAGAAAAGATTAATGAAAATGATTACCTGATTGATTAAAGAGTCAAATGAAGAAGACCCACCAAAATCTCATCAATGGAAATGGAAATGGAAATGAAAGGATTCAACTTTGTTCTTCAGGTTCAGGGTGCTCTAAATTCTGAAAGAAAGAAAAAGGAGGAGGAAATAAACCTACCAAATATATATATATATATATATCTTCTTTTCCCTGCCCTCTGGCTCTGGAAGACTGGATGGATGGATTAGTTAGCCCAAAAACGAAATGATGATGTTTCCTTTTTTTTTAGAAAAGAAACAAATCTATCAGAATGGGTATATGTATATTGTAAATTGTATTTTGTGAATGAAAAATAAAACATATATATATATATACACAGAGAGAGAAAATGGAAAGGGGGGGATGATTAATAAAATCTAAAATGGTGGTTTGATTTGAAGAAAGAAAGAGCAAAAGAAAAGAGGTGGATTGAATTTCAATTCAGTTTGATGCACACTGTATATAATTCTTGCTTTTTGGACTGGAAATTTTTCTGTTGCTTTCTTTCACCTTTGAATGGGAGAGAAGATCAATGGCAGCTAAGGCAGGGCCCCACATTTGAGATTGAGAAAACCAATGGGAGCATGACATGAGTGGATCATGTCCCAAAAGGAAATGATCTGATTGGTGCTGGAGTGGAGGAGCAGGTTAAACAAAAACCTAGAGGATAATTGTGGCTTAATTAATTAATTAATTACTAGTGTATTATTATGTGGGTAGCGGTGGGATGACAAGCAAATTATGTGCTGCCTAACATCTGTACCCTAACAAAAGTGAAGATGTTATAACCGTCTCATCACCTTCCCTGCTTAGTCCTTTGCCTATTTTTGGCTTCTTCATCCTATATGTCCTCTACTACTGATATGTGCACTGCCTTTTTTTGAGTAAGTTTGAACCACTGCCATATTACATGGTCATGGATACACTAACCCCAATGATATGAAAAAAAACTACTTTGTATATATGGTAAGATAAATAGAATCCCAAAAAAGGGGACAGTTTCTTCTTCTTCTTCTTTTTTATTCAAACAGCAATTTATATATTTTTTTAATGTCTTGATATTTGATAATCTTAGGAAAGGGGTTGCCTATAGGATTCGTGGAGACCAGGCACCTAAGATTTTTATAGTTTTTTAATTTTTTGATATTTAGTAATTATATTATATTTTAATTAATTTAAAATTAAATCACGTCAAATTTAATCTAAAAATTTTTTTTTTAATA